CTCTGTCTCAAAAAAAAAAAAAATAATGTGTTCCACTTCCATCCAGTTTAATATAAAAGATGTAAAGTCTTATCTTTTTAAATGTATTCCATGGTATACATATACCACAACTTGTTAATCCGTTCCTGGGTTGGTGGGCATTTAGGCCATTTCCACATTTTGGCGATTATAAATTGAGCTGCGATAAACAGTCTAGAAAACTATTTCTGTTATAACCTATCTTTTATTTGGACTCTGAACTTGATCCTCAAACAAACAAACAAAATTCCCTATTTAGAAATGCTTGTGGTTAGTGATTGTATGTACAATGCCTGGTGTTCAACAGACATTTTTGCCAATGCCATTGGCACTTTCCTCTGAAAGTTAGGAAATACTATCCCCATTCAACAAATGAGGAAATTGAGGCTTTAAGAAATAAATGACTTGTCAAAATCACATAACTAGTGAACTCTGGGATTAAATTGAGCCACCTGTGTCTTTTCAGGCTATGCCAACTTCAGAATTCACTAGATAGCATTATTCTTTAAAACCTTAATTCTTTAAAAGTCTGTTCATGATTATTTGTAGCCATATAGAATTGTTTATCTTTAAATTCAGGAACATTGTTCCAAAGAGAATTTTTTTTTTTTTTTTTTTTTGCAGTTTTTGGCCAGGGCTGGGTTTGAACCCTCTACCTCAGGCATATGGGGCCGGCACCCTACCCTTCTGAGCCACAGGTGCCGCCCCCAAAGAGAATTTTTAATGATGCTACTGGGTGGGAAATTTTTCTGGGCTCAGAGAGCCCATCCTCAAATTAGCATTTGTAAGAACTCAGGCTGGCACTGTGGTTCACGCCTGTAATCCTGGCACTCTGGGAGGCCAAGGCAGGTGGATCGCTTGAGCTCAGGAGACCAGCCTGAGCAAGAGGGAGACCCCCACTTCTACTAAAAGTAGAAAAAACACTAGCATTGAGGTGAGTGCCTGTAGTCCCAGCTACCTTGGAGGCTGAGGTGAGAGGATCTCTTGAGCCCAAGCATTTAAGGTTGCTGTGAACTGTGATGCCTCTGGCACTCTACCCCGGGGCGACTCTGTCTCAAAAAAAAAGGATTGTTCACAACTTTTGAAATACCTCTGTTCCATTTTAGTCCTAAGCTCAGCCACTTACTGCGTGACCCTGGGTGGGCTGCTTCATGTTGTAAGCTTCATTGTCCTCAACAGTAGAATATAGGCAATAATAATACTCACCTTAAGGAGTTTATCTAAAGATTAAATTAGCATTCTCCTTTTGTTTATGGATGTGATTTCTTCAAATTGATATGAGAGGTACAAATGACATAATGACAATTTCTCCCACTGTAGGTCTTCTCGAGTTTTCTCTGGGGAAATTTAGATACTTGAAGCTCAGCAAGCCTTTTCCAGTGGAAGCTGTTTTGCATCATATTTCAAGCAATGTGACTTTTCTTGTTTTCCAAATACACTCACAGTATCAGAATACAACAGTTTCTTTTTCTAGGGTAAGTACAAGGAGTCATTTCCGTAAAAACTGTTTTCATATTTTTGGGTCTTGTATTTAGTATAACCATTAGAATTTGATGTCTCTCAATGTTCATGACTTTATGTTTTAAATTTTTAAAAATCAAGATTGGGTCTTACCAAGTTAGTGATTGAGACTGGCCAAGAAGCGAGTGTCTTGGGCCTTCCTCAAGGGTGCTAGCCCTGATTTAAAGAGGGAGTGAGCCAGTAGAATCCTATTCTGCCATGAAAAAGAATGAAATCCTGTCATTGGCAGCAATATGGATGGATCTATTATGTTAAGTAAATAAGCTAAGCACTAAAAGACAAATACTGCATGTTCTCACTCATATGCAGGGTCCCTAAAAAGTAGATTTCTTGAAAATAGAGAGTAGACTAGTGGTAACTAGAGGCCAATAAGGGCTAGGAGTGGGAGAGGAAGGGGAAAAAGAATGTAAATGTGTTTATCATGACTGATGTCTACACCTAACAGCTGGTAAAGATGGTAAGTTATACATGTATATTTTACATTAATGTTATTTATTTTTTAATTTTTTTGTTTTTTGAGACAGAGACTCACTATGTCGCCCTCATCACAGCTCATAGCAATCTCAAACTCTTGGGCTTAAGCGATTCTCTTGCCTCAGCCTCCTGAGTAGCTGGAACTATAGGTGCCCACCACAATGCCCAGCTATTTTTTGGTTGCAGTTGTCATTGTTGTTTAGCAGACCCGGGCCGGGCTCAAACCTGCCAGCTCCAGTGTATATGGCCAGCGCCCTATTCACTGAGCTGTGGGTGCTGAGCCAATAAAATTTTTTTTTAAAAAAGGAGCGCTGGGCTGGGCAAGGTGGCTCATATAATCCTAGCACTTTGGAAACTGAGGCAGAAGGGTCCTATTTAGCCTCTATGACCTCTTAAACTT